ATATATAACTACTACCGAGCAAACGAATCATATTTTCGGTTGTAATTAATTTTGAATTCATGCTATTGAAAAAACAAGAACAAAGAACGCTTCATACATTCATACATAGAATATTTTCGCTCTAAAACACTTATAAATCGTTATAGATATTTTCAGTTTAGCGAAAGCAATTGATATTTTCATGTAAATACCAAACTTTTGGTATTGATTGATAAGAAGCTAGTCAGAAATATTGCCAAGAAATTAACTTTAATTCACTGTGTAATCTTGATTTCAAGTTTTTCTTTTGTATCAATTTGAAAACCTGATTTATTCACTAAATATACCAGATTTAAACGAATTAGCTATGCTTCATTTATTTCCTGACCGATCTCATGCAATAATCGTTTTCGATATATTCTTGAACTTTTAAATCTTCTGAGCTCTATTACTTTTATTGCTTACGTATTTTATGCACACCACCCAAATGTCTGTAGAGAAAATATCAAAATCAAGGAAATTAAATGATGAACTGTTATAATTAAAAAGTTTATCCTCTCTTTCCAAACCGCGATATGTTTTATGATCGCGCATCGAACTTTTTACATTTGATTCAATTCAAACTCACTTCCATCAAGGCAGGTGACCATATTTTCAGCAGTAATTAAATTCTACGATTATTAGTGATATCATCGATGTAACTTTTAAAAATTGTTCAAATATAAATGAAATTAATTTGATTACTGCAACTTTGTTTGTTGCAGCTGACATGTGGCATCTTGTCGTATTATTATCATCATATCTCACATCATTTCACACCAAAGTAATTGCTGCACAACTGAAAGATTACAATGATAAGATTGTATTCCACTTTATTGAAACTGCTGCAAAACGCAATGTCAGTCAACGTTGCGGTGATAGCCTCATGAAGGTAAAAAATAATTTTATGTAATTTTATTATTGTACTACATCTGAAATGCAGCTCCAATAACAGAAAATAGCAATAAAAGATATTGTACAATAGTTATGGAAATCGTTATATGCTATAGGATGTTAGAATTAAGTCCCTGCAACAGAGACATTGAGAATTGCACAGTAGTACACAAACAAACACCGTGTTCAAACAAAATCCTATTAATCAGTAAGTGGAATTATTTCTGACTGCTGCAAAGGGGGTTGTATATTGTATATATATGAGGCAAAAGGACGTTTTGCAACTAGTACCATTTCTTTTGTCAGATTACTTATATATCATTTGGAACGCGTTATTGCAATACTTTTATTTAAAAATAATTTTCAGCATTTTCAAACGACTTTTTACAATTACAGTGTGCGAAAAGTTACTTTTATTTGTATTCTTCATATCTAGTTACCTATCAATTTATATTTTTTATAATTTTCAAGATTTGATTCTTCATCAAAGATGATCAAATGTTGCATGAGAAAGATAAATTCATGAAAATTCACTAATCAAAAGTCATGCTTCCAAATTATTTAGAAGCAAGCAATTTTCAATAAGTAAAGGATTTCAGGAAATAATCAAAACTTCATTATAAAAGAGTTTGAAAATTTTTGGAGTAATGTTTAGTATTGTAGATTGGTCCCTATTTATTGGACTATTATACGATTCCGGATCAAAAAGAGTTTTTTACGGCAGCCTATGCTTCTGGTGATGCAGAACAATTTGTTAGTCGTGATCAGGATCGTTGGGTACGAAAAAATGATAGTTTCTGACACAATTTAGTTCACTACTACTTCATCTATCTAATATATTGCCATTATACAGCTCTCAAGCACTCTTTTTCAATGAAATGATTCAAGTTTGTCCTGAAAAACAAAAGCTTTATTCAACAAAAATTTTATTTAGGATTGAACTTGGTTTGGTCATCTGTGTCTTAAGTGCAAAAAAATCAGGTTGATTTCGTTTGCCAAAATGTTTTTGAGCATTCCGGAGTATTTTATTTTTTACCTTATTTCAGGTATTTCGGGCATATAAATGTATTCAAGCAGCTGGAGAAGCACCTTATTCAAAGTCTGAACATCCTTTGCATTACTGCTTTGGTTACAACGAAGAAACTGAAAAAAATGGTGCGGTTGCATATGGGATTTGCATACCATCTACATGTTATAAAGATCGAGTCAAGGTAATTACTATTTCACACTTTAAATTGCTTTTAGTACTCAATAATAGGTGATTTAATGAACTTATTGAAGTCACTTTCACGAGTTTTAAAATGTATAATTAAGAAATACATTTATCAAATAGAGATTTGGTAAAATATACATGATTGTTTCGTGGTAGATTTAATGCAATTTTTATTGTGGTGAAGTTGTTGGAAGAATGGCGATCAACAATATCCACAGATACATTCCCAATTGACTTTACATCATGCACCAAGTCACGACACGATCAGCAGTGGTATGAAAAACCGTTTGCTTTAACGGAATTTGTGGTACATCAGTGTTGTATACTTCTTGTAGTACTGGCAACAGTCTATCATATAAGGAAAGGTGATCAGACTAAGTAAGTATTATTTTTTAAGATATTCAATATGGTTTGTCGCTCACTACATACAGTAATGACAGCTCAAAGTTTTTATTTCAGGTCAGTTATTTACAGGTGACGGACGAAATCTTTCGTTGAAGTAAGGAATAATTTGTGTTAAAATTGTTAATAGTTTCAATATATTATATTGTATATTCTTTATTTTAGGAATATATGGGCTGAAGTTTTATTGGCATTTTCAGCGAAGAAAAATGTGCTGAAATTGATAAGGATGCCAAAAGATCCGCAATCAACAATAACTTGTATGTTTGGGATGCGTTTTTTGTCGATGGTTTGGACTGTTATTGGGCATTCATTTATTTTTGTACAGGTAAGATATTCATTTATTTCTCTATTCAATATTAGACATTTGTAACGAAATTCATAAAAAATTCTAGACGTTTTATATCAACAAGTCGGTTTCGTTCAAATGTTTGATTTCAAAAACAGAAAAAAAATTAAATTTTTCAGGCTTATTTGGATAATGTGGATGAGTTCAAAGATGATATGGTAAACCATTTCTATAATCAGTGGATCACAAATTTTACGCTAAGCGTTGATACGTTTTTAGTGCTTAGTGCTACACTGACCTCTTTTACATGGTTTAAAAAAATATACAAAGATTCATCAGGTAAGCTTTCTTTTTTATTTGTTGTCGAAATTCAGTTTGTAAGGCATGCTTTATGTTATACTTCCTTAAATTTTGTGTAAAGTGAGAATAATTGAATGTGTTGTTGAAACTGGTATAATGGTTTTGAAATTTTACAACTTAGTCTTAATTTTGCGGACAAATGAATAAATACTGAATTTTAAAATTATTAAACTGAAGGATTTTTGTTGCCTTTCTCTCTTCAAAAGCTAGTTACAAAATAAGTATTTTAGCTTTTTTGGATTATATGAGCAACCAAAGACGATTTTAGTTTATATTGCAGACTTAATATAAATTATATTCTGCAGAAACAGTCCCAACTTGGACATCATTTGGCTATTGGTTGCGTTATTACCGTCATCGTATTATACGCTTATGGCCAGCGTATCTTTACGTATTGATAGATGTAGGAATACGAGCTTCAATTCAGCATTTTCATCCAATGTGGCCTCCAACTGATCCCGCAGTTCAGTGTCCAAAACACTGGTGGGAAAATGTTCTATTTGTTAATAGCTTATTCGAAAATCGTTGCATGCCTTGGACGTGGTTAGTTTCGTTTTTATTGGTTAAATAAGTTAGCATTTGAACTTCATTTATGGAGCTTGACTTGGAGCACTTCATGTAAAAATTCAACTAAAACATTTCATGCATTCATAGTTTTCAAGCCACCTTTAGGAAGGAATGAGAAGATTATTGCAATTATCAGCACCCTAAAATTTCTTCCATTGATAATAAAACTAGTCATTAGTTAGAGCATATATTCGTCCTTTACAGATATTTATTTGATTATTATATCAATTTATTATATTATGCAGTTGCTGCTTCACTCAGTGTTAGCTTGAGCAACAGTTTCATAGCTGTAAAATGAATAATGTCAATAATTTGAGGTATATCGGTACTGAATTCATCTACTATTTGTTGTCGCCAGTATTCTTGTTAACACTGCATAAGTCATCACGAATAGGATTTATATTATCAGTAATGGTGATATTATCATCTGGTTTATTGAATGTATTTGGTATGATTCGCTGGAATTTCCCACCAACTCAGCTGCTTTGGAAGCAACCTAAAATTTTTAGCGCTGATTTTATTAAGGTAAAAGTATCAAAATATATAATGCGAATAAATTAACGTGATCATTAAAAGTTAAATTCTAATAATTTTTGAAATAAATGTTGATAGTGATATTATTTAACGATATTATCTAGCAATATTATCTATTATAGTGTCTAATATCACATTTTGCCCTTATGGTTATTTTATGAAATTCTTCGTTAATGATAGAATTGGAAACTAGTTAAGAAACAGACATCAACACCCAACAAAAGCATTATGAAAAGCTGATGTATCTCTTCGTTAGTCTAACTGAATTAGAAGTTGGATTAATCTCTATTCTATAAGAGAAAAAATATAGGAAGAATTCCGCCTTATCCTCATCTTTCTATCGAAGCATTAAAATGCCATTCAATTAAGAATGATTGATAAACGTGAGCACGATTATTATATAGACTTCTGTATAGGATTTTGTACTTTGCGTTGGTGTGATTAAGTCTCTTGAAAATAGGTTAATTAGTGCTTAAGAAGTACAGGAAAAATTAAGCATTTCACATAAATATTGGCAGAGTTTGTTTTTGCTCATTCACTTATATATAGCGTGATTTTTGTTACAGTTAAAATTTCTCTATTTTTTACAACATTATTGTTATTCTCATCGTCATCACAAGTTATATGTATTCTCATGTCGTAGGATTATTCTATAAATATAATTTCATATTTCATTATATACTGCCTGTAGTTTTCAATTTTATCACAAAAATAGGACCAAGTATTTTCTGCTGATAGTAATATACATTAACTATATACTAATATTATCGAGATTATTTGTGAGATACTGTAATATTTATTAATATATTAGGATATTAACTGCATAGTTAAATTATGTAATTGGATTGTCATAGCATGGTTATTGTTGTAATAAGCTTGTTAGTTCTGAATATGCATATCGTTGTTTTTAATTCATTATCGTAGGATCGTAATGGAATATTCCAAGAAATCTTGAAAAGTTTGATTAATGAACCTTATATTAGTTGTTTCAGCATCATCTTTTGGTATACATAAAGCCACAATATCGTATAGGGCCGTATATTATCGGTTTACTTTTGGGATATTACTTAGTAATGTTTCAAAAATCTACTCCACCAAAACGTCAAAGAAGTATGGAAATGCAAATGCTTGGTTGGATAGTTGCGTCTGTTGCTTGTTTTTGGGCTATTTTTGGTCTTTATCCAGCTTTACAGGTATCGTTTGACAAAAACCTTATATATATA